ATGTGTGTATGTATGTATATATGTATATGTGTATGTGTATGTATGTATATATGTGTATATATACATATGTACATGTCCGTATGTATATGTTTATATATACGTATTGTTCGTATGTATATATGCATATGTGTACGTGTTTTTACATGCATATCATATATACATGTTTGTTTGTGTGTATATTATGTATATATATTACGCTTTTGTATGTTTATATATATTTCTTTTTACTTTTCATTTCTCTTGTTTATCTATCTGTTAAGTATAATTGTTATTGCTATAATTATATTACTTATATCTATAGTTCTTTTTCCAATTTCTTTCTGTCATTTTTTCCTAGATTATATTAATTTTTCAATATCATTCTGTAGATCCACTGATGATGACATAAAATACTATGTCGAAACGTTTGGAAAAATTAAAGATTAACTTCTAAATCTTTGCCTTTTATTTGATGTATGCCCTTGAAGAACTTACTCATATTTCTCAACATCAAAATTAACTACTTTAACATATATATATATATATATATATGTATATATCTAATTTTCAATCCGTCGTTTCGTTTATTATTGAAATTGCACCAGATGTGTGTTTTTTCATCAGTATTGTTTCAAGTGCGAAATAAATTGCATAATGCACATTTATTAACAATTATATTATTATCGATTTACGGAAAACACAACTGCACAATGCACATACACGTGCCACTCGATAATGCAGTTTGCGAAAAAAATAAAAATTGCGTAATTTGTTCATTATTTTCGCAATTTTTAACTTTCCAAAAGTTATTGTAATCGCAAAAAAATCTAAAATGAAAATGAAAATCCAAAATCCAAAATGTTTGCATATATCTTTACGTTTCGAAGGTTTTTGAACATTTTGGCATATGTAAAAAAAAATTCATGTATATGTCTGTGTGTGTGCGCGTGTATGTATGTATGTATGTATGGATACAATTTTTCGTCCACGTTTTCGGGCGCACGGATTAACCGATGTTCAAGGTTTGAAAAAATACTAAATCGTGTAATAATACGTTGTATAATGCCATTTTTAAAAATTATGAAATTGTTTGAAAAATTAAAAAAAAATTCAAAATACTGAAATTTTCTGAAAACTAAATGTTTTTGCTTTCAAATTGTCAAAAATATCTGATTTTTGAACGCAAATTTTTAATTTCTTACTAGATCTCCTAAAACCACTGAACCTATCTTTGCAAATATTCAATCAAATCTTCATTACGTCAACACAAGCAAAATGTTTTTTGAATAATTGAAATCGGACGCTTCGTTTTCTCAAAAACTCGATTTCTATTTTCTGCACATTTTGCTCCGTATTTCCGAAACAGCTGGACCTGCCTTTGCCAAAATCTAATTAGCACATCTCCTTATCAATAAGAATATAATGGTAAATGAATCATTCATATCGGTTGAGCAAGGCTCCTGAAATCGTCGACGAAAAATTATATCCGCACATACATACGTACACAAAAATGTTCAGAAGCTCCTAAAACGTAAAGAAATGCAAAAATTTCATTTTTGATTTTTTTTAAATTTATATTAACGTTAATAAATATTAAAAATCAATTTTATCATTAACGAACCTAGTAAAATATTATAGGCCTACAATAATTGATTCAAATATAAAAATTCATTAATCTTTGACATTATTGACCGCGCTCCTAGGGCTAGGACATACACAGTGCATGTCCTAAGCCTAAAAAATTATAATACATTTTTTTCCCAACTCACACCTAGTTCATTTCCTCTCCAATTTTGTATCGAATTAAAAACAGTAAAACGAGTCCGCGAATCGGAGACGTTTTCTAAAAATATTCACCGTGACATATTATTAAATAAGAAACAGCTGTTTCGTTATTGTTATTGAAATCTCTTCAAGATTTTTTCTAATAACAACATTTGTATCATTCGCTCGTTTATTTATTTATTTACTCTGTCTGGACTTTGAAAAACAACTTTTTGCCATTCACAATGAATAAACAATGTATTAATTGCATTCGTTGAAACCTGTTGTGTCGAGATACAGAAAAAAATCATATTGGTTGTAAAAAACTGTTTGTTTGTAAAATGCTATGCAAAATATAAATACAAAGGTATTAAGGATAGTTTTGTATCATCAGGCAATACTGAGGATTTTGTGGTATATTTTGCATAATCTGGCAACACAAAAGAAGGATAATTTGAGGCAAGGACTATGATAGATTCTCATACAACCATAAATATGTTTGTTTTTTATTTTTTAGTATTTACATATATTAAGTATTTTTTATCTATAATATATAAATATATAAATATATACATAAATATATATTTATATATCCATTTATATACAACAAAACCTACATTTATATATGAGATTTCAAAGGAAAATCCATATATACATTTATATATCCATTTATACACAACAAAACCTACATTTATATATGAGATTTCAAAGAAAAATCCATTTATACATTTATATACAAATTAAAAATTAACCAATTATAATTAGTCCAAACTAAATTTAAAAATTATAATAAAATTCACATTTAAAATAACTGTTTATCAGATTTTAAATATTTATATATAAGAGACCGGTTATAAAAAAATTATTCAATTTGTGTTTATATCGCTCGGAATATATATATAATAAATAAATAATTTTTTTTATTCACAAATTATACAAAATAATTTTTTTCCAGATTTTTGCGAAGGCAATGACATGCAGTTTGTTTTGATGGAAAGTTTAATAAATTTAATTTAATTACTTAAAATATATACAAGAAAAAACTGCAATAAAAATATATATTAGATATAAATGATAATGTTTATTTGTTCTTCATGATTTAAAAAAAAATTGCCTAGTGATAGTTTCAAAGAATAAAACATAATAGTTTCAAAGTATAAAAAATCAAAGTTTTCAAAAATATCATTTTATTGAAAATTTTAAAAATCTCCAAAAACGATTTATTTAGAGATTTAAAAGAAAATTCAGTCTTTTTTAAAAAAAACTTAATATTTAGTACGAGTTACTAATTTATTTGCACGCGAGCGATGACATTTTTTAGCAAATGGATTATAGTGTTATCATCTGCCCATAATAATTATATATATAAATAAATATATATATATATATATATATATATAAAGATAATATCTGCGTTTTACATGGTCATCTGTTATCTTATCTCAAATAGAATGTCACATATGCTGCAGCTCTAAATAATGAATATTGTATAATATTAGTAATAATGGTCTGATACAATTAGCCAGGGCTGGTGGCGAGGAAATAAAGATAATTAATAAAAATAAACTAGTGGTAGTGCCTTAGGGCAAATTGCTGGAACTTCCCGTACCGTAATGAAATATTCGAGTATTTGAAATTAATAATCGATAAATATTGATCAATAATTGATAACAATTGTTTTATATATTTTCAAAGATATAATTATAAATACACTTAAAAATGTTTACATTAACAAGAGATCCCGAATGAATCCATCTGAGGATATATTGCTTACGATTACAATAACGCATATGAAATATATACACATTTTTTACTGATATGTTAATTTGAAATTCAAATTTGAAATAGAAAATTTTGTATATTTTTGAAAATTTTGAAAAAGAAATAATACCTGAAAATTTTGATTCATGAAAATGTTTACATTAACAAAAGATGCCGAATGAATCCATCTGGGGATATATTTCTTACAATCAGAATAACGCATATAAAATATTACATACATTTTTAACTTTGACTTGAACTCTGAAAACATTGATTACTTGAAAATGTTTACATTAACAAGACATGCTGAATGAATCCATCTGAGGATTTATTTCTTATGATTACAATAATGCACTGAATTATATATACAGTTTTAAAATAAATTGTTAATTTAAAATTTATATTTATTGTATAAAATTTTGTATATTTTTGAAAATCTGGAAAAAACATTTTTCTGGAAATTTTGATACTTGTTTGAACCGTATAAGTGAACTTAAAAATTAACTAGCGGTGCATGGCATGGTGCCTTAAGGCAAATTGCTGGAACTTCCCGTATCGAAAACTAAATTTAAAAAAACTTGGCAAAACTTAAAAAAAAATTAGATTTTTGGATTGCAAAATTAGATTTGAATTTTTTTATTCTTTTTATTTATTTATTCTGAAATCATTTTTATGCTATTTGTTTTTTTTTTAAATGTATCTGAGCATTTATACATTTTTATCGAATGTACTCTTGAATGATCAGGAGATCTGGAATCGTACAAATAAAATAAATCTACCATTTGCCCTACTTTTTTTAAATAAAATTTACAAAAATTTAAATTTCTTTGTTTATTAATAAACTTGTTATTTATTTCAGACAAAGTCTTTTCGGCTCCAAAATGTGGCCCCTTCTACTAACATGGGCCATAATTCTGAGCCAAATTGGGCCACTTTTGACTTTCCAGTCGACATGTTTGGTGGGTGACCAAAATTTGGTCGAATCAGGTAAAAGATAAAAAACAAAAAATTAAAAAGACAAAATTATTTCTTATTTACTAACTTTTTATTTATTTTCTAAACTTACGACACGACATTAGCAATTTTTCGTTTTGGTTTTGAAGTACACCGAGTTGCTGTACGGTTTTACAATATTAGACAATACTGTAGAGAATTTAATTTTGTATAAATTTTCCTAAGACACCATTCATACTAAACGAATGTTTCGGAAGTTATTGAAGATTTTGTAACAAAATGCGCGTACACCATACGTGCAGCCCTTGTATTAAAATACAAATTTACACTATAACGAGTTACCGTAGAGTCTTTTACCTCTAGACAAAATTATACCCTATACAATTATCAACAAACCCCCCAAAGACACTATTTAAATCCCTTATATATTTTAAAAGTTATAAACAATTTTCCAGATCTATTCACCCGTCCCCATCTAACGTTGGCCGAACGCTCTATGGAATTAACCATAGAGGTGTCCGAGCGCGCCACACAGCGTCTGATCAGCGAAGTATTCAAAATATTCCTAAAAGAAGTTCTGGGTTACCCGACTGTCAGATTCACTACATCTGGCAATACTAATTATACGACTTTTCCATTGGTCGATCCTGATTCGGCACTCAGGAGAATCGAGAATGGTCCTGATGATTATCAAAGTTACAGGTAAGGGATAATTTAAAAAACATTCGATTTGTATTGATGGAAAGATGTGGTGATTAGTTTTTGGTAAAGGTAGGTCCGGCGGTTTTGGAGATACGGGGTAAGAAGTGCTGAATATGGTATTTTGGTTTTTGAGAGAACGGAGCGTCCGATTTGAATGATTTGAAAAATATTTGATTTGTATTGACAAAATGAAGAACTGATGAAGTTTTTGGGAAGGCAGGTCCAGCGGTTTCGGAGATCTAGTGAAAAATGTTGAAAAAAATGCTATTTGGCGTTCAAAAATGTTCATTAGACGTATGCACATCAAATTATCTGGATATTTTATAGGGATTCTAATAATGTGTACACAAAATTTCGTAATTTTGAAAATTTTCAAAAGAAAAATTCAAATTTTCGAAATTTTTCATCATTTTCAAAAAAATCTGAATTTTGAAAAATTATAAAAATATCAAAATTTTATAAAAAAATCAATTTCTTAAATCTATGTGTGTAAAAATATGTAAAAGGTGTGGTAAAATTTGTAAAATGTGAAAGAGTGTTGTAAAGTGTGTAAATGTGTGTTAGAGTGTAAAGAAGTGTGTAAAAATGCGTAAAAACGTGTACAAGTGTTCAAAAGTGTGGTAAAGTGTGTAAATATCTGTAAAAATGTTTTTACAAAAATTTGAGAATATTCAGAAATTTCCAAAAAAAACGAATGTTTTCAAAAATTTTCAAACTCTCAATTTTTTATAAAAAAATTGATTATTTATGTGTAAAAATGTGTAAAAGTATGTAAAAGTGTACAAAAGGGTACAAAAGCGTGCGGAAGTCTGTAAATGTTTGTAAAAGTGTTCTTACAAGAATTTGAGAATAATTCGAAATTTAAAAAAAAATCGTCAATTTTCAAAAATATCCAAACTCTCAAAATTAAAAAAAAAATCGATTATTTATGTGTAAAAATGTGTGAAAGTGTGTAAAATGTGTGGTAAAGTGTGAAAAATTGTGAAAAAGTGTGGTAAAGAGTGAAAAAGTGTTGTAAAGTGTGAAAATGTGTGTAAAATTGTGTAAAAATGTATACGTATATAGTGTGGAAAAAGATAAAATGTGTGTTAGAGTGTAAAAAAGTGTGCAAAAACGTATAAAAGTGTTTCAAAATGCGTAAAAGTGTGTAAAAGTGTGTAAATGCTTGTAAAAATGCGTAAAAGTGATCTTACAATAATTTGAGAATATTTCGAAATTTTCAAAAAAAAAAATCAAATATTTTCAATAAATTACGAATTCATAAAAAATGATAAAAAAAAGATTATTTATGTGTAAAAATGTGTAAAAGTATGTAAAAATGTGTAAAAGTGTAGAGAAGTGTGTAAAAATTTGTAAAAGTGTGTTAAAATGAGTAAAAGTGTACAAAAGTGTGAAAATATGAAAATGGTATGTTAAACTATGAAGAAAATGCGGTAAGATAAAGAAGAAAATGCAAAAGAGTATAAAAAGTGTTCTTACAAAAATTTGGGAATATTTAGAAGTTTAAAAACAAAATCAAAAATTTTCAAAAATATCCAAATTTTCAAAAAATTAAAAAAAAATCTATTATTTATGTGCAACAATGTGTGAAATGTGTAAAAAGTGTGGTAAAGTGAGAAAAAGTGTAAAAATGTGTGTCAAAGTGTAAAGAAGTGTGTAAAAATTCGTAAAAGTGTGTAAAAATGCATAAAAGTGTGTAAAAGTGTTCAAAAGTGTGATAAAGCATGTGGAAGTGTGTAAATGTTTATAAAAATGTGTAAAAGTGTTGTTACAAAAATTTGAGAATATTTCGAAATTTTCAAAAAAAAAATTGAATATTTTCAAATTCTCAAAAAATTAAAAAAAAAACGATTATTTATGTGTAAAAATGTGTAAAATGTGTGTTAAAGTGTAAAAAAGTGTTGTAAAGTGTGTAAAAACATGTAAAAAGTGTGTAAAAATGCGTAAAAGTGTGTTACTGTGTAAAAATAAGTAAAAGCGTGTAAAAGTGTACAAAAGTGTGGTAAAGTGTGTAAATGTTTGTAAAAATGTGTAAAAGTATTCTTACAAAAGTTTGAGAATATTTCGAAATTTAAAAAAATAATCAAATATTTCCAAAAATATCCAAATTTCCGAAAACTTTTAAAAAAGTCGTTTTTTTTCTAAATTTGAACTTCTCCTTGTTAGCGAAAAAGGTTCAACACTCGCGCGCCTATATGAGCGTCTCACAAATTATTAACGTATTTAAACTTACTAGCAAAGAACTTACTATCAGTAATAAATAAAAAACAAATAAATTTATATATTTATAAATAATTCCGTCGATTTCATTTTCCCTGAATGCAAATCATTTCCAAAATGCAAAAACAAAAGAACAATAATGTCGAGTCGAGTCGAGTTCAATGTCCATTTGCAAATTAATAATAATAATGCTTTAGCATTCCTCCAACTCAATTGATTTAAATTAAATAGACAAATAGAAATATTTACGAGCCATGGTAAAAATAGCATTACAACTACAGTTAGTAATAATTCCACTACAGTTAGAACTGGGACATTGGATTGTAGTAGATATGACTAGTGGCGTATGGCATCGTGTCTGGAACTTCCCGAACAAAAAATTATTTTTTTAAAAAAAAACTCTAAAATTTTTTGAAAACTTTAAAAAGTTAGTTCAGCTTGAAAACTGGGAAAGGGGGGATCAAAAATCCCTAAAAGTAATAATTGACTCAACTCCAGTATATCAAATATTAACCACCCCCACACTATTAGACATAAGAGCTAATAAAAAAAACCCACGCATAGGAGAAAGATAACCGATGGGTTGCCTCTCTCTCATATTAATACCTTAGATCAAAAGTCATACACAAAAATGGCTTATAGAACAATAATAAAAAGAGTTCTGATTGCTGTGGAAAAAAAAAGAAAAAAAATATTAACCAAGTATTTTTCTTATTTTTTTTTCAGACGAGAGAGTATGATGAACCTCGAACTGTGGCTTTACCCAACTTACGGAGCTTACTTTTTCATTTTATTTTTAGTATGCTCGTCAGTAGAGTCTCCCCCCTTTTTTCATTTTTAGTTTGCTCGTCAGTAGAGTCCCTTCTTATCTTCTTAATTGTTTTTTAATTTGCCCGTCAGTAAAGTCCTTTTTCATGTCTTTTAAAAAGCAATTTGCTCGCCAGTAGAGTCCCTTTTAATCTCCTAAATTGTTTTTTAATTTGGTATTGGTATGGTATTTTTATTTAAGTTTGCTCGTCAGTAGAGTCCTTTTTTCTCGTCTCAAGTTTTTCATTTCATTATGCTCGTCAGTAGAGTCCTATTCTCATATTCTAGGTAGTTTTTTTATTTGCTCGTCAGTAGAGTCCTTTTTTATTTTCATATATTGCAAAATACGTTTTCTCGCTTTTTCTTATCAGAGCAAAAGCTAGGAAATTATTAAAAAGACTCTACTAACGAGCTAAAGCTAAAATATACAAAAAGGGACTCTACTGACGAGCAAACTAACCTAGAAATAAAAAAGGGACTCTACTGACAAGCAAAAGCTAGAAAATTAATAAAAGGACTCTACTGATGAGCTAAAGCTAAAATGTACAAAAAAGGGACTCTACTGACGAGCAAAACTAAAAATAAAATCAAAAATGGACTTGTAGTTTCTATAAATCTTTGAAATTATTAAAATGGAAAACATTTTTTAGTCAAGACAGATAATACATCTGTTCAAAGAATGATATTATATCGCCAGCGAAAAAGTAAAAAAAATATCATCAGTTAATGAATGTATGTTAATTTTAATTACATGAAGTTCTTTGAACACAATTATTATATGATGAGTGAAGTTACGAAAACAATATTTATTTAGCAATATTTAAACAGCAATTACTTCATTTCTCTAATAAAGGTTCAAGTCGTAAATGCTAATTACAATGACAAACCGATCATGTCGTATTTGAAGTATGATTTTGATTACATTATTCTGTTTTAAACATTATACATATTTTTAATGCTATTATAAATATATAATATATAATTTATCATTATATAAATGTGTATAATGATTGACGACACTAATAAATATGTGCATCACGAGTATAACAACCATATTACTAATAAACAATATTCAAAATTGTTATATGATGTATTTATTTTTACATTTAGTCAACTATTTGCATTACTAAGTTGTCACCAAAATCATCTATGTTTTGAAGTACAGTTTTGTGATATAAATTCTGTGTTGAATTAATTTATTCTTGTGATCGCAAGATTAGTCCAGAAAACATCTTTCTTTCTTCTTCTTTCAATAACAAAAGATTTTAAAAAAGTTGCAATTGCGTCAAACTATATATAAAAAAAATTCTAGATGCGCGTAGATAATAGTTGACACTAAATCCAGAATACATAATGTAAAAATTGCTTCAAAATTTATATATTAGAAATATAATTATCTCCTAATTTATACTATCATTTATAATATTTTTACTCAAATGCCATATTGTACAGTAGCTAATAAGTTTTACTTCAATCGCGTGAACTTTACCTGCACTCTTTTTTATCAATCATCTTCCTTATTTTTTTCAGTCGAGAAAGTATGATGAACCTCGAACTGTGGCTTTCCCCAACCTACGGAGCCGCACCAGCCCTGTCAAGGGTTAGAGACCAGGGCAACGTTTACCCTCCAGGAAGGGCCGGATGGTTCATAATTGGTGACCCCAATGTCACCAATACGGTGACCCATTGGGCGCAGTTTAGGAAACCGGAGATTGGTCGGATTTTCGATTTGGACAAGGAGGATTTGGCCACTCTGGGGTAAGGATAATTGATAAAAAAAATTATTACATCTTTTTTATTTTCCATAAAATATTTTTGTAATTTTGAATTAAAAATTCAAAAAATTACCCAGGCTAAGCACAGTCTAAGCGCCACTCTGGTACAAATGTTTTCTCAAGTGCGTTTAGACTGTTTATGTACTCAGCACTTTTCCAATTTTGTCGAAAACTATTGAAAAATGTGAAAATCCCGCCAAGCTAATCACAGTATGAGTGAAAATGTCGCACAGATGTTATTTGCAAATGCATTTAGACTGTGACTATATTGGGGCACTTTTCCAATTTTATGTTAATTATAGAAATGTAATTTCGGGTTAAAAAAATTAAAAATTACCCAGGCTAAGCACAGTCTAATTGACAATCTGGTACAAATATATTTGCAAGTGCGTTTAGATTGTGACTTTACTTTTTAAATTTTGTGAAAACTATTGAAAAATGTAAAAATGCCGTCCAGCAAATGCGTTCAGAATGTGACTTTAAGGGAGTACTTTTCCAATTTTATGTAAATTATAGAAATGTAATTTTGGGTGAAAATTCAAAAAGAAATACCTAGACTAAGCACAGTCTAAGTTACAACCTTGTACAAATATATATGCAAGTGCGTTTAGATTGTGACTCTAAAAGTTTTTTTTAATTTTGTGAAAACTATTTTAAAATGTAAAAATGTCACACAAGGCAAAAGCACAGTCTAAGTAAAAACTTCTTACAACATTATCTGCAAATGCGTTTAGAATGTGATTTTAAACTTCTTACAAAATTATTTGCAAATGCTATTAGAATGTGACTTCACGGGAGTACTCCTTCAATTTTATGTAAATTATAGAAATGTAATTTTGGTTGAGAATTTAAAAAAAAAATACCCAGGCTAAGCGCAGTCTAAGTGACAACCTGGTATAAATATATATACAGATGCGTTTAGATTGTGGCTCTAGTCTAAGGTTTTTTTTAAAATATTGTGAAAACTATTGAAAAATGTAAAAATGCAGCCTAGCAAAGCACAGTCTAAGTGAAAATGTTGCACAGAATTGTTTGCAAATGCGTTTAGACTATGACTATACAGGAGCACTTTTTAAATTTTGTGTAAATTAGGCAACTTTATTTTTTGAAATTGAATTTGAAATGAAATGACGATTGTTAAGATAGCAAAAATAATGAAAGTTACAGCATTTGTAATAATATATTTGAAAACGTTTAAAATTTCTCGAATATTTTATTACGGTACGGGAAGTTCCAGCAATTTGCCTTAAGCCACGATGCCATACACCACTAGTTAGATACTTTTCTCAACAACCAGTTTATATTTTATCCTTTTTCCCTCGATTTCGTATTTAATTTCTAAATATGTCCCGACGATTCCCGACGGGAATTCCTGGCGCGCGTACTATTTTTAAAAATCAGGGAACAGGGAACAAACGGGAAGATATAAATATCAATTTGGTTTTTGTAAAGCGGATTAAGATTTTATTTATTTGTCCGAAATAACAGAAACACGCACGCCATTACCATTGTCAATAAGGTTAGAGGATTAGTTGGAGAGCCGGTGGAATACATAAATAAATTACTGAACCGATTTTAAATTTGGTTTGATCAAAGTGTGAATTTAAATCCAACTTACACAATTTGCAGTCGATATATTACTAAATATTAATTTTGACTTTTGAACAAATACGCTTTACTCTGTATGAGTGTTTTAAGCATATCACAGATGGTGCTAGTGTGCTTCACCAGTACCATCACGTACGTTACCAGTACCAATTTTATATATTGAAATATATCTTTTTTGAATGAAAAGAATATTAACATTTTTCTTTAACATATTTATGATTTTTTTGAAAATATATTTTCAACATATATTTTGTTCTCGTTTCATTTACTCAAATTCATCAGGTTTCTATATTATATATTTATATAAATCTTATCCTACAATTGAACCTAAAGGTAAATTTACGTGCTACGGTCAGTGGCGACATCTATGATATGCTGAAAGAATTAAATTTGATGTAATATCAAAGCGCCCGTGTTTGCAATCTATACTTGTTTATCTATGGTTTTAAACAAGATATCAAATAAGTAATAAAAATAAGAAAATGTTATTAAATAAGACATTCACATATTTTTTACTCGTTTTAGAAATGCCTCTAAATCTAAATTTTATCAATTCTCTTTACATAGAAACTAAGCTTAAAACTTTGTATTACAAAACTTTGTATTATTATTGCAAGACCAAAGCTCTTCCTACTGAGCCACAAACAAGCCCTACTTGCCATAGAGCACATAAAATACTAAAAATAGAAAAAAGAAAGAAATAGTGTTATTAACCTTTGTAAAAACGTCTACAAAATCTTTAAATCAGTGCTTGCCAACATTTTTTGTACCGCACCCTTTTAATTTCCTTTACATCATACAAACTTAGCTAATGTTATGTAAAAATTATTATATTATTTATAATATAGTATAATATATAATTATAACATTCATTAACTTTCCTATGAATTCAAATGTTTTAAGAATTTTATTAAACGATCATTTTTCTTTTTAACATTTTCAAAATTGTTCTTAATTATTAAATTTCTTGACATACTTAAACATAATTTAATTATTTTAAAAAAAAGAAAAACATTAAGATTTGTTTATTTTTTATTTATAAATTAAAAAAGCTAATATTATGTAAAAATTGTTATATTATTTATAATATAGTATAATATATAATTATAATATTAACTAATTTCTTTATGATTTCAAATATTTTACGAATTTTATTAAACGTTCATTTTTCTTTTTAACATTTTCAAAATTGTTCTTAATTATTAAATTTCTTGACATTATACAGATACATATAATTATAATATTAACTAATTTTTTTATGATTTCAAATATTTTACGAATTTTATTAAACGATCATTTTTCTTTTTAACATTTTCAAAATTGTTCTTAATTATTAAATTTCTTGACATTATACAGATACATATAATTATAATATTACCTAATTTTTTTATGATTTCAAATATTTTACGAATTTTATTAAACGATCATTTTTCTTTTTAACATTTTCAAAATTGTTCTTAATTATTAAATTTCTTGACATACTTAAACATAATTTAATTATTTAAAAAAAAAGAAAAACATTAAGATTTTTTTTTTATTTATAAATTAAAAAAGCTAATATTATGTAAAAATTGTTATATTATTTATAATATCAAATATATAATTATAATATTAAAAAAACTTCTCTTTCGGGAAGTTAAAATTTTTTATGATTTCAAATAGTTTACGAATTTTATTAAACGTTTATTTTTAGTCTTTTTAACATTTTCAAAATTGTTATTAATTATTAAATTTCCTGACATACTTAAACATTATTTAAATTATTAAAATATTTTGAACGTCATTAACATTTGTTTATTTTTTTAATTACAAATAATAAAAACTAGATTTTTTTTTTATTTTTGAGTACGCGATTCTCTAGTTAGTTAAAAATAGAACAGATCAATGTATCACAGCATATTGCTTCTGCGACTTGTTTTTTTTATTATTTTTAATTCAAATCAATTCATATCAAGGTTGATATTCAACTATTTCTATATATTTATTTGTGTCAACGAGAAAAAAATATTAGATCGAGAGCTCGTGGAAAAAACCTTCAAGACTTTGAAATTTTGTTCAATTCAAGTTGAACCAAGAGCTTAAAAAATCTCAATAAACCATTAAAAAAGATTCTGGTGTAGTGTACCTTTTTTAATACTAGATTAGTTTGCTCGTCAGTAGAGTCCCTTTTTTGTATATTTTAGCTTTAGCTCGTCAGTAGAGTCCCTATTTTGTATATTTTAGCTTTTTCTCGTCAGTCTTTTTAATTATTTCCTGGCTCTTGCTCTGATAATAAAAAGCGAGGAAACGTATTTTGGAATATATGAAAATAAAAAAAGACTCTACTGACGAGCAAATAAAAAAACTACCTAGAAATGAGAAAAGGACTCTACTGACGAGCATAATGAAATGAAAAACATGAGACGAGGAAAAAGGACTCTACTGACAAGCAAAATGAAATATGTTCAAAACATGAGACGGAAAAAATACAATATAAAAACAGACTCTACTGACGATTAAATCAAATTTGAAAATAAAAAAGGACTCTACTGACGAGCAAACTGTATTTTACAAAAGAAAAGAAGAAAAAATGGCCCTACTGACGACCAAATTAGAAAGAACGTAAATAAGGCAGTAAAAAAGACTAATTTTGGAATAAAAGGCAATAAAGTTGTTTCTACAGATAGAAGTTGGAGTTCCGCAAGGTAGCGCCGTAGGACCACATTGTAATTGAAACATTCCTTTATCAGGAGAAACATTAATAGAAACTATTGCAAATGATACCACAAAAAATGGAAAATAAAATATTAAATCAATTTTTTTTAAAGTTTCCAAAAAATTTAGAGTTTTTTTAAAAAAATAATTTTTGGTACGGGAAGCTCCAGCAATTTGCCTAAAGGCACGATGCCATGCACCACTAGTTATATCTACTACGGACCAAGTTCAAAATTATTCTTAACTGTAGTTGTAATGCTATTTTTCCTATGGCTTGAAGTAATAGGCAATAAAGTTGTTTCTACGATACGATACGATAGAAGCTGGAGTTCCGCAAGGTAGCGCAGTAGGACCTACGTTATAAGCAAGACATTCAAGAAACTATTGCAAATGATACCACAAACTAGTGTGGTTTTCAATTTACATTAAAGCACAATGCCATACACGACTAGTCTTTCTTCATAAATCAGATTGTCATTTATTTATTTATTATTGTTTCCTACAAAAAAATCCCATTTGTTAATGTATTCTAGACGTTTCTGAATCGTTTGACACCGAAATTAGACAAAGTATATGCATGTAACAAACTTATGCTTTTATAATTTATTATCCTATCACAGAAACTATATATATATAATTAAATATTAAATACACGCTACCAAGTATATTATTATTTATTGA